AATTGTTTATTTTTATTTGAATTAATCTATAAACTCTTTGCATTTATATATAATTTCTTTATTTATTATTAATAAACCTTTTATATAATATTATATTAATTTAATTTATTAATTTAATTTTATTAATCTAAAATTTTTGAAATATAATCTTTAAAATATCTTTGTATTTATCTTTATGTTTATTTTTATATTTTATTTTGAAAACAATCCTTGACATTACTGAATTTTCATCTATAATTTGAGTAATTATTATAGATTTATTTATCCCTTACATGATTTTATTTTAAGTTACAAACTTTACATAATAATATTATGATATTTAATTAAGGTAATATTTAAATAAATAAACAGATCTAAGATTCTAAATAAATTAAAAAATATTAATTATACATAAAGATTTTTACTTTTTTATTTTCTTATAATGATTAAATAAGACTTTTCACTTTTTAAAAATTTTTTCTTATCTAAAGAAATTACATCAACTTCAATAAAAAATTTTTTTTAAAATTTTTTAAGATTTTATAAGAATACTATTTGTATTTAATAGTAAATTAATATTATCATTATAAATTAGTAATAAATCTTTATATTTAAATTATAAAATTGCTAAATAATTAAAAAAAATAAACATATTTGATTTGTTTGTTTTAAATCACCCATTAAAATTATAAATTATTAAAATTATTTTACTAAAATTTTATATAAATAGAATTGTAAACTTATTAATTTGATTCATCTTATTTTAAATTATTATACAGTTTTTTAAAATAGTTCTTTTAATCTATTAATATCAGATTAATATTTTATTAATTTATAATATTAATAATCAATTTACAAAATTTTAAAATATTATGCAAAAAAAATATTAATAAAAAGTAATTTTATGTTAGAATTAAAATATAAATTGTAATTGAAAAAATAATTAAAAGTAATAAAATTAGTGATAAAATTATATTGATGAATCAATTTAACAAAAACATATTTTAAATATTTATTAATATGATTTAAAAATTAAAAAAATGATTTTGCTATTCACTGATTATTGTATAAATAAGTAATTTTAAAAATTGCTATTATTAACATAATTTGCTTAGCAAAATAAAATTATCTACTATTGTATAAAGTATAAAGAAAATATTTTTTTAAAAAAAAAAAATTATCTTCATAATACAAAGTATAAAAAATATACTTTTTTAAAAAAATAAAGATTATCAGTTATTTGTATATTAATTATATAAAGATTACAATTTAAAAGATTAATTATTAAATATTATTATTATGAGATAAATTTTCTAGTTAACTATCTTTAAGTATGACTTTCATAATCTATAATAGATTAGATTTTTGTTATAATAATAAGTTTTAATAAGATAAATAATTTATATTCTATAAAATAAATTCCTTTAATAAGCTAATAATAGCATATATAAATAGTTGAATCATTCTGGCTATTGGTGTTTTTATGTTAAACTAGTTATAATTATAAATATTATGAGATTTAAAAGTTATTAGCTATATCACATCTTTATATCTAATTTTTCTAAGCATAAGTGTAAGCTAAAACTATCTGTTTTATAATCTTAGAAGCAAAATATCGCAGTTATTTCAAAATTAACTCAAAATATTTTATATTATATATTTTTTTATTTTAAATAATTTAAAAGCTCTATTTAAGTATTTTCTTTAATAATAATTTATGATTAAACTTTTATGTCTTTCTTCACAAAGGTAAAGAAGATTTTTTTTAAAAAAAAATTATTTATCAATAAATAAAATAAAAAAAAGAGAATTTTTTTTAAAAAAATATTCTTAAAAAAAAGAACAAGATTTCTTTTTATTAATTTTTTAAAATAACTAAAATAATTAACTATTTCTTTTTTTTTCTAAAGTATTGAAATTCATTTACTTTTGATTAATCTATAATTTAAATTCTTTTATAATTAATATATAAATCATAATAGCAAATAAAGTAAATAAAAATAAATAAAAGAAATAAAATTAAACATCAAGATGATTTAAAAAATAAGAAAATATCAATATCACTTACTGCCATAATATTTTTATTATTCAACCATAATATAAAATAATTTAGAGAAAGAAAATCACTTATCTAATACTTTTAGAATAATTTAACAAAGAGAAGAATCGAAATAAAAAGCTGAAGGATATCAATTGATACTCTGAAACTGAAATGATCAAACCTGAAAATGAATCTAACAAAATGTAAAAATGAAAGAACATTTATAAATAACTGGTAAAAAATATTGCAAAAGTAGAAAAAAAATTAAACTAAAAAACTGAAAGCAATACAATAAGCAAATAAAAAAATAATTATGTAAACTTTTAATGTGAAAATTATGATGTGATGCAAAAATATATTTTTAAATCTTTTATACTCCTTATTTATTTATTATATTACAATGTATATATTTATTTATTTACTATTAATTTAATATAGAGAATTTTCTTTAATGTAAAAGATTTTAAGACAACGTATTATTTTTAATCAGTTTCTATTCAATGACATTTCTAAAAGAATTTCAATACATATGATTAAATTATTTTTTTCAAAAATTATTTCGCTATAGCTTAATAATCTTATTTCAGAAATTTCAATAATGTAGCTGTAATTCTGTCTTATGTACTATTTTTAATCCTTTTAAAAGTTAAGGTATTATAAATCAGCTAGCCAAGCCATTAAGATAATAAATATAAATAAATATTTTAAAAAAAAAGAATTTTAGTATTAATTAGTATAAAATTAAATATAAAGTTTGAGTGGATTGAATAACTGCTGACATCTTGCCTCTAGGTATGAATCAGGATAGTTAAAATTTACTTCCATACTCTGAGAAAATTGGGCACATAGTTGATATAGCCAACTACCACTTAACCCCATAAAGTCGATAATTAACCCTAATCCAACATAAAACCTTTAGCTAGAACATCTATCATAACATGAGTGAATAGGATCTCAGCATCCCATCACTTTATTAAAAACTTGTTGTAATAATAATATCCAATATGTATATTGTAGGAGTCTTGCTTGAGGATAACTGGCTAGGAAATCTCATGTACTTTCCCAAAATGACAATAATTATTTAATTTCGCATCCCTTGAAACTGTAAATTCATGTGATAAATAAATAAATTATTTTCTGATCAATTCTACCAAAAGTGAATTTGGGAGTAATAACCAATTTCTACCAACGTGTATTTATGCATATGATCATATGATATCATGATATTTTTCTCTTCATTTTCACTATTACTCTTTTTTATTTTCTTATACTTGCTTACATTACATTTAATATAATTGACTAGGCGTCTATGTTAGAGCAATCATTTAGAAGGTATAAAAATGATTTTTTTAAAATATTAATCATTGACGATCGTTTAAATTTATTGCAAAAATTGTTGTTCTAAAGTCTTAAGTTGTAAAAAGTATTATATACATTATCTGGACTTTACAATTTCAGCGTGAATGAAGTCAGTTTCTAAAAAGCCATTCTAATATGACTTAACTGTAATTATATCTAATTTTTAGGTGATTTCAAATGCCTCACAAAAGAAACTCATGGATAATTAAGGGAACGATCACCTTCTATTAGGAATCCATTTCCCCAACTTTTATCGATTATGGTATATAAGAATCTTATGTTAAAAAGCATAACAAGTTAAATTTTTTTTTAAGATATTCATCTGAAAATCATTGACTTATTTGATGGCTTCAAAAATTAAGCGGTTAATCAAAATCATTTGAAATTTGGAAAATTTTAAAATATTGAAACAGATTTTCTTTGAGCTACTTTTTATTCAAAATGATTTTATAAATATCGAATTGGATCAAATGAAATAAGGCTAATAACTTGTGAGTCTTCTTTCTCACATAGGGGGCAAAATTTAAAAAAGGTTCATACTTTTTCCACTTTTTTTACAAATGCTGCATCGTGACAATTTCCAATTGTTTTAAAACAATTGTAATATCGAAAAACTTTAAAATTCGTATTTGTACAAAATGTAAGTTGTTTCAGCTTGAAAATTTTAATTTACATTTTTTTTTAGATGAACACTTAAACAAACTACCAACAACAAAGGTATAATTAATGTAAGAGTCCTTTTTCTCGACATTCACCACCTCGTCTAACCCACTAACGCGATGAAACTTCTGACGACGTAATGGAATACCACGATACCAATTTGCTAATTTAAAACAACATGGAATATTTTGATATGTTGTTTTGGAAGCTTCATATTTAAACAATAGTAAGAATAATCGTTATAATAATATTCCTTAATTTAAATGTATGTTTCAAGATTATTATCAAAATTGCAAATTATTTTATAAATTGAAACTTTATATTTTTCTATTACTGATAATTTCAAGACTAATAATGGTATGGCTCCTATGGAACCCAACATTTTCATTTTAAATTTTGAATTACCTTTTAAATTATTTTTTATTATTTTCGATTTCATTTATTTTCGATTTGGCAAAACATCCAAATGCCTGAAGTCGTGGGAGTTCAAAATCCGTAGTATTTTTTTTAAGTTATTGTATAATTTGTGCCTAATAATCTTACATTTGCAGGAGTGCTGGATATGGATAAATAAATCTCTTGAAGAAAAATTTATATTAAGCAAATAATATAGTTGATGACAATGCAGCAATGCAGCATGAGCGTCGGAAGAAAGATATAATGTTATACCTTGGCGTACTTATTGCAATTTTAATATTATTATTAGCAGAGTTATTATTTTTTTGGAATGTTTGAATTTATTTTTTTTTTTAAAAAAGAAATCTTTTTTATATAAATTATCTTTTTAAATTTTTTGCATTATTAAAAATATCAATAAATAAAATTATTTATTACAAAAAAAAATCAAATTATATCCATTACTTTGTAAAAAATATAACAAATTTGGTAGTATGATCATGCAATTACAAGAATATCTATGAGGGAATTCCACCTATCAAAATCCCTCATCTCGTTGAGCAAATTAATGTGATCTTCTCGCAATTATACCACCATTATCATTTCGACGGGGTGTGGCTGGCTCTTCATCGTCGATACTTTGGATATCTTGGATTTTAACTGTGATAAAAAAAAAAATTTTTTTAGTTTAGTATATGCAAAACTAAAATAAATTACAGTTATAATCTTTTAAACATACGTTTAATGTTCGGAATACAATACTACAAACCCACACAACAACCACGAGAATATTAATGAAGGAATTCCATCTATCAAATTCCTTCATTTCGTCGAGCAAATTTTCATGCTCTTCGCGTAATTGTCTCATATTTATACCACCACCACCATTTCGACGGGGTGTGTATGTTCTTCGCCTTCGAGCGGTAGGAGCAGGATCGGCCGGTGGAGGTGGAAGTTGAGGGGGGTGGGAAAAAAATATTAATAACTTGTTCGCAGTTTAAGTTTTGTTGATTCATTTTTAAAGTTTCAGTTGGAACCGGCCAAAAATTCCTTTAAAATATTTGCTAACCAGTTAAAAATTAACCGGTTCCAACCTCTAGTCCTTTTCAAGTTTCAGGAACTGACAAATCGTTTTTGATTGTCCATCTAAAATAACAAAAAATAAATGTAGGGTTTAACAACTGGGACGATTTTATTAAAAATTTCAAGGCTGCAAAACGAACTTTTAGTACATACATGTTATTGGAGAAGAACGTGCGATTATATAAAGATAAAATCTTTTGATTCCTTTTATAAATTCCTTTTAGCTGTTAAGGGGGGTAATCCATAAACGTAAAAAAAGTAAAGAGATAAAAGGTTTGTAAACTTCTAAAAGTATATTGCCGTTTCTTGAGCGAATAAATAAAGAGAGAAAGGTTTGTTGTTTCTTTGGGCGAAAAAGTAAAGGGAGAAATGGTTTGGGTGCAACTCGAGTGGGGGGCACCGTTTATATGTAAATCAATAACAAATCATTACGTCATAATCGAAACCAATAAAAACGGTCATCATATAAAAATTACTATTAAATATTTTTCATGTATTTCACGTGCTTTTTCAAGTAACATGAAAGACTAAGCAAATACAACAAAAACACCTCGCTTTATTGAGAAAAATTTTTTTCCTAAAGAGTTGTGCCTGAAAGAATTACTTTATAATTTTATCAAAGCAAATGAATTTTATTTGGGAAAAACGCGCTGTTATATGAAAATGACTATGATTTGATTTAGAATTTGGAACATAGGGGATGTTTAATATAAAAAATTCTTGAATTGAACCGGGTTACGCCGCTAATGTGGCGCAGCTGTCAATTATCTACAATAACAATTCGTGTCGCTTTGATAAGCACTTTGTGATCCTCATTTTTATTCTACTCTTCTCAATCTTCTCAAGCAAACAAACAAATTTTTATTCTTCACTTTTACTGCACGAACGAGCTCTCTTAACATTTATATATAAATAAAGTTTTTAAAAGTTACAAACAATATGGAAGGCGATGATACAGAAAATACAATACTCAGGTTTGTTTATATTGCACCTGCTTTATAGAAGATTTTTTAGAATAAATTTTATTTACAATTTGTTAAAAAAACCACTTTTTTGATTTGAAGTTAGTAATTGATTTAAAGTAATTGATTTTAAAAATAATTTATTGTTATATTTGTCTATTTATATTCTTTATGGGACTCACAACCAGAAGTTTTAAAACCAATCCTTCCTCAAAATTATACATACGAAATCCAAAATCTTAATCACTTATCACCATGTCGAATGCAAGAAAATTCTGAGATCCAAATTTTGAGTTAGATGCATTTACAAATGGTAATACCAAGGAAAAAAGTATCTAAATGGTTTCAGCGCTTGAATCTCACTCAAAAATGACAATGGAGGTTTTTAAAATTAATGGAATCGAGTACTTTTTCGGGAATTACTCCATTGTATTCATGGTAAAGAGTGAAAAAAAAAGCAGGTAGCACGAAATATAAATTGCAATGCAACCATCATCATCGCCTAGAACGTAGACGACTTTCATTAACGCACCCACTAGAAGTCAAAATACTTACATAATTATGTTATTAAATCTACAGAATCACTGATGTTTCGGCGTGTTAATGAAGAAGTTCGCAAGGGACTAATTAATTTGTTTAAAGATGGATCACACACCCTCCTCCGCATTACATGCATATTTCAACTTATTGCCTCAAATGTTCAAGAAATCTTGTAGATCGGACTATTAATTCCGGCTAATATTATATTTGAGGACTTTTTCAGCAATATAGAAATATAGAAAGGAAGCACTTGAAAGCCGTAATGGAGAATCCATGTTTATTGTTGAAGATTATAATAATTTTGGTCATGGAGGAGCTGTATAATATGAATACAATGTATGTGTCGGAACACTGTTTATTCTTTGTATCGTAACAAATCTCATGAATCGTGTACATTAAAGAGTACCCCAAGCAAGTGAACTTAGTTATATGGATGCATCTGATATTTCGATCCTCTAAATAATTTAATTTCACTTTTATATAGCAATTGTGCTACGGGTGCACTTCCACTTGGGTTGATTGTTTCATCGGGAAATAGGGATGGTGACAGATCTCATTTCGGTTCCTCTTCGGTTCTACTTCGGCTCTCCTAAAATATATTAAGATCGATCAATAAAAAATTTTTGACAAAAAAACTCGGTATTTACCTACTGTATTTTAATTTGATGACGATACGATTAGAGCCGAATCTTTTGAGCCGGTCCGGAGTTTGATTCAGGTTCGACTATTTAATTGGTAAATATTTTTTATAATTCAGGTAAATTTAGAATTTAGAATCGGTTCCATAACCGACTCTAAGTCGCTCTTTTTTAACCGTCCCTATCCATATTGGAAAAGACAATAATCATTTTTCTGCTTAATTTTGTGTTTTATTTTTTTAATTTTATTAATTCTTAATTTAACTTTTAAGAATACAGTCAAACCTACCCCCTTGGGACCATAGTGAAATTTGAAAAATTGTGCATTTAAAGAGGGTGTGCATTTCAAGAGAAATCATATATATGGGACCTTTGCAATAGAAAAGGGGGAAACTGCCGGAAAAAATCAATTTTACTTTTATATGCCAAATATGATTTTTAGGTCAAAATATGTTCAGATTTAGCACTAACTCATTTTTTATTTTTTCCAGCCGTTTCCCCCTTTTCTATTGCAAAGGTCCCATATGCTCTCTATATGCTTGGGACTGAACATGCATTTAGAGAAAAATATATAGTGTGTGCATTTAGAAAGACATTTAGGGAGGTTTGACTATAGTGAAATTTACTAAAAACAATACTCCCACCAAACCTTTTAAGGATGTGGACCAAAATTTGGACAATTTTTTTTTTAACTGATGACGCACGTGCTAAATGCAATGCTTTAGAACTTTGCTGGCCAAAAGGTAATTATAACTTTGTTTATTTAATAGAAAAATATATAATACAATTGTAATGTTTTATTCTAAAAATGCTCGAATTTTTTTAATATAGGTGTTGTAATATGACACATTATGCTTTGTTTCTAAAATATTCCAAGATTTGAGTAATAGTTGTTGCGATATTTGCGATATGAAATATTCGTCCACTTGAGACGTTCCAAAATGCAACTCTTGTAGAGTTTTTATTTTCAAAAATAAATTTCCAAATAATATTTGGGAAGATTGCTAGGAAATTATGTTCTGGGAATTTTTTAACAAAATTTGATTTTTATTGCATTTTAATTTTTGATTAAAATGTAATATTGTCTTGATTTTAGTCAAAAAAATTCCCAAAGCCTGATTTTCCTACTAAAAATTGTTCGTTTAGCATCTTGAAACTTTTAATAAAACGTTCCAACTAATACTTTAAAATTTTTTTTTTAGATGAACAACCAACAGGATCAAAAATTTCGGGCAAATATTAAATATTTATGTTCCATTCCTTCCCTTCTCCTACCCCAGCTGCAACCTTTAAATAAGACAGGACATCAATAATACGGACATTATGAATGTTAAATAATTTCATAAAGTTTGTCATACTAAGCTTATTTTCTACAATAACGGTACGTTTAGAAATTATTTTGCTAAAATTGCCAATTATTTTAAGGCATATTATATTATAGAAAGCATTTTGTACTAACATTATTTTTTTCTTTAGATGAATAACTAAATGATTGCCAAAACGTTTTGAAACTGAAAACGCGACAATTAGAGCGGATATGGGAAGAACGAACAAAATAAAAATTTTAAATACCATATTGTTCATCTTAGTTATGATATTTTTTTTTTTTTACATTTTATTATGGTACGTTTAGAATTTATTTTGCTAAAATTGTCAATTATTTTGGGGGGGCATTTTTTTTTAAAATTATAACCTTTAAAATTTTTTGATTTCGGACTTCCTTACGATCTTAAATAAATAGGAATCATTTTTTTTTTTATTTTTTAATTTCAATTAAATAAAATCAATAAACTCTTATCGCTTTTACTGTCGCCTTACACCTCATTTCAATAATTTTTTGCAATAAAAATACATCGCTTAGTTAATATTTAGGAAAAATTTATATGGCGCGCCCAGAATAATATTAACTTATAATAATCCGAAATGTTCGTAAATGTCCACCGAAATGAATTTATCTTTGCTAATTTTCCAAGATATTTAGCCCATTATATATATACTTTGCTTTTTGTGTTGGATCCAATACTAGTGGCAGTTTCTGAGCATGTATAAATTAGCTAACCAATAACTGTACTACTTCCCGTATATACATTTCCGAAGAAAATTTCCCGAACTCCAATTTCCTAACTGGACACTTTCCTGAAATCACAATCTTTATTATTTCTATCTCGAATGAACATCCCGATATTCCGAAACGGACATTTTCCTATATATAACTTGATTAATATTATTTATGGAAATTTTCGCGGGAAAATTTCATTCGGGACCTTAGGAGGTATGCGTAGAGCTTCGGCTGGTAAACTAAACATATACCCGTGCAAAAAAAAAAGTACCGAGTCTTTGTTCGCAGCAATTACAAATTGGCGACGCTAATTAAAGTCTTGGCTAGTCATTCATAAAGATAACCGTCATACATTTAGAGATTAGCAAGTAATGATTGAGCAAGCATTCTTTTATATCAAGATCATTTGCGTCAAAATTCGAGATTTTCCTGTATGGAGACTCGAGAGATTTAGCAAGGATTTTTTCACATGCTGGTTACTTAGTAAAATGGGATTTGTATTGTATTTTTACCAAGCGCTGAGAAAAATCAAAAAATTGAAAGATTACAAGCGGTGACGTAAACGCATTTAATATTTATAATAGTGTAGGGAAATTAATTATAAATATTTTATCAGTCAAAAAACGAAGATAAAAGTAATAAAAGGACAAAATAAAAAAAAAACATCTTAAATTTTTGAATAATCTTATTTTGTAATTAAGGAAACGTAATAAATCCCTAATTAAATACATTATTTGTGAGCGAAGTATGTCATATTCGAATTATAAGAGCGTTTTATATAAATAGCCAAATGCGCTAATTGAAGCGTTCTAAAGCAACCCTCCATGTATTATTAATTTATCTTATTAGCTTAAAAAATCAAATTGGCTAAATTTACTATTAATAGGGTAACCAAAAACCAATCTATTTCACTCTCCATATACCTTTTTTACATTTTTACATTATTAATAGATATCAGAGAAAGATTATTAACCTACTCTTTATGTTACAAACCCACCCTGTAAAAAATAAAAAGTGTCGGGATGTTTCAAATGCTAAGAATAACGAACTGTTTCATTTTAAAAGTTATGTAATGGTAAATGTGGGGGAGCACGAGCTGAAGCCAAAGTTTTAGGGCCGGTTTCTTTTTTTTTTAGAGGTGATATAATAAAAAATTGATAGATTACATTGAGTACTTGCGATCAATGATTTATTAAATAATCTGATTGGTTCAAAAATGACTGATTGGCAAAAATATAATCGCTCAATTTTATTACATTATAGATGTTACAATCTCTAGGAAATAAAAAGTATTTGAATGTTCATATGCAAAGAATAACCAATGCCAACCTAATACAAGATTGCAACATCAACCAAGATCTTAAACTGATGGGTTTTGGGACAGATGTACAGATGTTTTCCATTTTTAGTATATGGAGAGGTTATAATTCTTTTTTGAGACATTTTCGCGTTACTCGTACCACTTTTCGCACCACTCGATTAGAAATGCATCCAGTTTTTGTCTCAGATGCCTCTCCTACATGGAAATAAATTGCTATTTATAAAATACCTTCCCTCTCCTTGTTCGGCCGAGGGCCCTTCCCGAGTCGTTGTACGAAATTCAATTGTCGCTATTGTATTATGGCAAATAGCAGGAATACTTGGAGTAAGTCAAGGACCTGCAAGAAATTTTACTGATAGGCACTCTATTAGATTTGGAACAAAAAAGAATTAACATGGATACGTATATCATGATTGGCAGAAGTAATACAAGGATTTGAGCGTGGAGAAACTAACTTAGAAAATCGTAAATTACCTAATTTCTTTTTAAATTGAGTTTAAAATAATTGACTTTATATCAATTAAAAAAAAAATTTGGAAATCGACATTTCTAGTTATATAAATAAATAAATTATATGTAGTTTGATACGTCTCGCCCTCGACTTTTTTTTATACGTAATTCAACTCGAATAAAATTAACTTCATTGATGTACGACACGAATTATTAATAATTTGAGAAAAAAAAGATTGTATAAAAGTGAATCATCTGAACCATCTCATATCATCTCATCTGTCTGATAGAAGCAACAAAAAATTTGTCTTTTTTTTCGCAGTATTTATAAAACGATTCCTATTTTATTATTGTATTTATTTATTTTTTTGACCTTTTTTTAGATGCCCGATCGTAGACCACCTTCAATTCAAAGTATTTCATCCAGATGACGACAATACAATCGACATAGAATAACAAAAGGGCCATATATCTTTATTTTTTCATATATTGTAAAGTTGTGAATTTTTTTTTACGCCAGAATAATGAATTTTTGTATTATGATGATGAAAGATTTTCATTTTCTATTATTATAACGTAGAAAAAATTACATTTTTAATTTATAAATGGATAATTTTTTTTTTTGAATAAAAATGATAAAAATGAATAAATGATTGAAATGGATTTTAGTTTGAATTAATTGGTTGACAAACTTTTGGATATGTTTAGGACATGGTACTTTGTTAAAGGTCCAATTTATAAAGTCACCATCTATTTGGACGCATTCATTTTCTTCAAGTTTGAGGAATTTCTCTCCGGTAGGAGTTTCAAAATTTTTATGAACGTTCAAATAAAAACAATATGGACCATCGTCTGGAATATTGTCACGTTTCATCAACAAACAAGGATCGGAACAATCCATCAGACCATTGTCGAATAAAGTTTTACCCTTGCAATCCGTAATATAAACATCCCCTATTCCAAGCTAGACATGGCACGTTACATATAAGATGCTGTATCAAACAAGATACAGTCATTAGAATAAAGTGAATGTTCCGAATGGTTATCTATCAAAATTAAAAAAAATATTACCTTCAACTATATTAGCAACTAGGAAACAGAGGATGGAGATGGCAAGGACGAAGGAAATGGAGTATTTCATAGTGATAGTAAAGTAAAAATACTTGTTATTTTTTTAGATGTTTTCGTTTTTTTCCTGATTGAAACTTCAAAGTATTAGTATTTATAAAAAAATTTGCCTATTATGATCTCCTATTGGATCTACATTAATTCATTTCAAAAAGTAAAGATGATCGTCATCGAATCATCGACCGAATTATACTGTATATTTAATTAAATAAAATATTCCTTTTATATCTCAAAAAAGGAAGAGAAAGAGAAATAATAAAAATAAGGTTTCAATATTTCATTTTTATTATAATTCATTAACTTTATTAATTTGGATCCTTATAACAGTATAGACAAACCAAGGGACCCTACTCCCAATTCTAAAATTCGTTTAATATCAAAGTTACACGGCGTGTAACGTTTCAGATAATAGAACAGACACTACATAAACTTTGGAATGATTCTAAATTTTAATTAATATTTTACGCTACGATCTAAATTTCTCTTTGTAATAGTTGTCAAATATTCTTGATAGTTCTTAAACAATTAACGGAACTTTTTGAAATTAGAACAAATAATTGATTTAGGTCAATTAGAGTGTTAAACTCATTTGAATGTACGGTATTTAATACTTTTTTTTAAAAAAATATAGTATGTCGAGATAATAATATTGAAGAGAAATATGTCTTTTTTGAATCGGATATTTTTTATTAATTTTTCATTCAATATAAATTGGTGGTAGAAGTAACAAAGGAAAGGTAAAATGGACTTTGAATCGTTCCACTACGTTAAAAATTTTGATCTCTTCAAAAAAAAAATAAAATAAAATAATGTATTTTCACTTTGTTACAAAAAAAAAATTATTAATAATTAGCAATTGAAAGCGTGGCAATAATTCCCTTATCCTTTAAAAAAAATAACGAGATTCTATATTAGATTAATTCCTTCATCAATGATTAAAAGATTATAGAAAAAAAAATTCGTCAATTTAATAATCAAAGGTGATAATAGAAATATGAAGTTTCAAAAATTCGAAATAATTTACGAGTTTAACAGCATAACCTCTTGAAAAAAGCGAGTGCGTTGGGGAGTTTGTCAGGGAGTGCGTCGAGATGGCGATTGGGAGGTATTTAATATAGATTATTAATTGAAGTAGTACTTGAATGTTTGTGGGTTCATCTAAAAAAAAAAATTAATAATAAAAATGTCGATCAAACGAGACAAAAGGGACGAAGTTTTATTAATAAGTATAACTCTATATACCATGTATTATGGGTAAGGCAAAACAACTTTTTCATTAAATAAGTGTATAATTTTAATAATTAATATTATCAATATGAATATCAGTGAGCAATTCGGCTTCGGTCCACAAGTTTCAAATTTCGATACTATCAATAAAGACTTTCATCAGAATACAAATTCATTATTCTGGCGTAAAAAAAAAAATCACAACTTACATTTTATAATAACGTAAATTATCAACGCAATTGCGACTCCCACAAAGACAACTGATTTAAAGGAATTTCCTGTTTTATTATTTAATCTTCGTAGTTTTCTTATTCTTCTGCGGACGCGTGGCCTCCTTCGAATTGGAGGTGGTCTACGATCGGCTTCTTGACCGACAGGTGGTAATCTACCGCGAGTCATCTAAAAAAAAAAAAGTCAAGTTTAGCGAAAAAAAATATAAAATAATATAAATATGTAATTATAAAATAGGAATCGAATCGTTTTTATATTTTTATACATACTTCAAACAAGAAAATTATAAAATAAAAAAAAGACAAGGAAAAAAAATTTATTTCTATCAGGCAGATAGTTTTTATACGACCTTTTTTTGTACAATCAGCACGTGTAGCATGATTCATGATTCATCTAAGTCAATTTACTAAAAAAGTCTAGGGATGTCAAGGCGTCTATATATAACGTATAAAAGTATTCTTTTGATTGAACATAATAAGCGTAAATTAAATATTTCTTTTAGTAGTACTTTGTATTTCCATATATTTATCAATTATTCTATATTCATGTAAACTCAGGCAAAAAAATAATATGATAATTTTGACATAGCCATTTGGCAAGTTTATGGTGGCAACCATTATCAAAACAACAGATATTTTATGTATACGAAGCATGACCTGCGAAATTTGTATCGTTTCATTTCCATTCAATAGCTATTCCACTTGGATCATGACCAGACATGAATGTACATACGCCTGGATCCAGAGCAATCACTCCTTCATATTAAATTATTAATTTAATGAATAAATTAATTTTATTCTTTAAACATTATTGTTTACTGATATAAAATAAATAAAAACTTTTCTTGCACTCCGAAAATAAAGGAACTTGGTTTTCAGTCAATATAAGGTATGCAAAGGTAAAATTCTCTAAGGCAATTTATAACAAGATGACTAGCATAATCAAGTTGATTAAAGAGATTCTACTGACTTGATTTTGTGAAGAAATGCTTATTCACCGATACTTGTTCCAATGTTTAACAAATATTGAAATTGATTATTAAGAATCCTTTTTAGAACGGAACTTCATCTTGAATTTTTATGATTTGTAGCAATATCCTTTAAGCAAGTCATTTATAACTTCATCTTGTATATTATAAGGAGTTTCTATAACCCACTTAAGTTTTGTATCATTCTTAAAGTTTAGGGCATTAAGACATCATGCTCACAAATCCTTTTTGTTTTGATTGATACCTTCTTTTTCGACTGCGAAAAGGCATCATTTATACGTCTGGCATGCTGTCCCTATCTATTATCTGAGTTTCAACCACTCTTCTTATGTAAGAAAGGGTTAAATACGCTGTGTTTTACCTTTTTGAATCTTGGAACTCTTGATCTTCTTAGACTTGGACAGCTTCTCATCATCATCTGTGGTTAACAGCTGAATGTATTCCATTATGTCTTGCCACAAATGCTGTAATGATTGAGCAAGTTCTTTGCAAGCTCTCCGTTTCATTACTCTTAGCACTAACATCTGTACCGAATACCAAAAGCTGAACCATATTCTTCTCAAAGATCTATTCCACAAGCTCAGATCCAAAATGACATAATGGTCCTAATAAAAAAAGTTAGTAAAATAATAAATTAATAAATTAAAAACAAATAAAATTAAACTCAACATTTCGGTTAACCAACACTTTCTACTGTGTCTGTTGGTTGTCTCCAAAGATTCTATGTATGTCTGTAATTGAATAGAATCATTTTCTATTAGGTATCTTGATTGCAATCCTTCCAGATGCTGTTTATCGTCACAATATTTCAACTGAGACGTCATACGTCTTTTGCACTTTTGTACAAAGTATAATAATCATATCGGCCGTGTAATTATATTTATAATAGTTTTTAAAATTAGTCTAATGTCTTCTATAACTTACCACAACATTCTTACATCTATATAAAGATTATTCAATAAACGCCGCACAAGAGATTAGGTAAGTTAATTGTTTTGGTGTTTTTTATTTGAGTTATATGTTCCCGTTTGGGTAGGACATATTTATTATTTAATTGATAATTAGATTATCTTTTTTTTCGATTAACAAAAAATTATATACATATTTCCTTTTTAGATTAGTAATTTGGTTACTATTTTGTAAACCGCCCCCCTTAATCGGTAAAGTAAGTCAAAGGTCATAAAATAAGATAATGGTTTGCTATAAGGTTCTTTCATTAAATTTGTATAAAACTGTAAACTTAAATTTTTTTTTTTGCTAAAGTTATTATAAATTGGCTCGCGAGCTTGTCAAGCCAGCTCAGCTTGCATACAAAACTTTTTTGAAAAAAAATAATTAAATAAAAAAGTTATTTTGCAATGTATCAAAGAAAAAGAAGAAATGTAGCAAATCATTTGGGAGGTTTACTATTAAAATTTAGTTACGAACATGATAGATAGCTTGCCTCCCGTTTAAGTAAATAAAGTTAATTCAAAATGGAAACTTAAATTTGATGCGAGAATCTCTTAATAGCGATAAAATTCTAATTACAAAGTGAACAAATATTATTTTTTAAAAAAAAATTTCGTCCTTTACCAAAAACTTCATTTAATAATTTTTTTTTTAAAAAAAACTTCAAATCGACGCATATTCGTCTCAAATATAAAAGGACTTAAAAAAATCTGCCTCCATAGCATCAAAATAAATCGACTTCGCTAACTGCATATTTTAAGAATTTTTTTTTAAGAAAAAAAAATTTTAGCCACAGCCTCAGTTAAGTTTATTATCTAAGATTATAAAATAACAATTTTAAATATTGAAACAAAAATAATGTTAGTTTTAAAACAAGTAAATTTTTATAAAAGTGAATTCTCAGTCCAAATAAATATTCTTGAAGTAATATTCTCATTTATC